TCCCTCAGAGGTGCTTGCAGCCATTATCGGGACACTGAGATGAGGGCCCCTTAGGGCAGGGCTGAAGATCAGCCATAGCTGCTTGCTCCGCCCTGTTGATTCCCTGAGACCCCGCCCCACCCAGGCTGCGGCAGAGGCTTTTGCATATGAATGCCCTGGCCCTTTGCAATCTGAAAATTACCTAACAAATTGCAGCTGGGCTAGACAGACCCAGAACTTCCAAGAGAAGTCCCAAGGCCCCACAGCAGCTTGCATTGCTTCACAGCTGGGCCTCATCTGGGCACCTCCAAACCCCAAAAAAGGAAGGGGAATCCGCAGATCTCTTCATAGCTCCTGCTGGGTAGCCTCAGGCAGAGGCTCAATTAGCACCTTGTTTGATCCAAGAGCCAGTGGTCAGAGTGGGACCATCCAGATTACAACTCCTCAGATCCATAAGGGACACACTCAGGGGGCAGACTCAGTGAGCACCAAAGCCCCACTGAAGCAAGTCTTGCCCCAGAAGGGTGTCTTCAGCACAGAAGTTCTCCCACTGCAGACACAGCTGATTCTCACAGCCAATTGGCCTGGAGGTCAATTCCTCCCAGTGATAACTACAACAATCAAGGCTTAACTACAAGAAGACTACAGCAAGACTGTGCACACAGTCCACAAAGGGGTGCACCAAGAGTGTCCACCTCAGGTAATTGAGGAGGCTGAGCCACTGGGCCCTATAGGACACCTAGCACACAAAGCCACTCTACCAACACAGGGAAGCATAAAAAATGCGGAGACAAAGAAACAGGTCAGAAATGACAGAAATGGAGGAAAGCAAACGACTGGATATAGAGTTCAAAACCACGGTTATAAAGTTTTTCAAGAATTTTATGGAAACCGCCAATAAATTTAGTGAGACCCTGGAGGATATGAAAAAAGACCAACTAGAAATTAAGCATTGCCGGAGTCCATTCATTGTCTTCACTAGCTGAGTTTAGACAGAGACCCCCCAAAAGCTAGTAGCCCTTGAAAGTCCTAGCAAAGGTCAGGGCTGTGCACCACCCAGTTAATTAAGACAGCACCCAGTTAATCCAGCTAAAGCATCATCCCCACCTTAGTTCACTTAATTCCTTAGATACTTGTGTAGATCCTTGTTGATTATTCTTGATCAGATACTCTGCCTATTCCTGGAAATCATCTACTGATGAGCTAATCAGATACCCTGCCTATTTCTGGAAATTGTCTACCGATGAGCTAATCCATGTGTCATTGAAATTTCCTTACCTACGGCTACCCCAACCTCAATAAAAGATCGGAGTGGCCTGAGCTTAGGTGGAAGTCCTTTGGGACTTGCCCGCCTGGTTCCCCAATATTGCAAAATTATCTCGTGTCATTTCTCTCTCATTTGTTGTGCAGCTCCTCTTTCAGATACCGAACCCTACTCCACACAGAACGTGGAGGGAGTGTTACTCGACAAAGCATACACTGACTGAAATAAAGAATAATATACAGAGATCCAACAGCAGACAAGAGGATCCCAAGAATCAACTCAAAGATTTGAAATACGAAGAAACAAAAAATACCCAACCGGAAAAGCAAAAAGAAAAAAGAACCCCAAAATATGAAGATAGTGTAAGGAGCCTCTGGGACAACTTCAAGTGTACCAACATCCGAATTATAGGGGTGACAGAAGATGAGAGACAGCAAGATATTGAAAACGTATTTGAAGAAATAATGACAGAAAACTTCCCCTACCTGGTGAAAGAAATACACTTACAAGTCCAGAAAGCACAGAGAACCCCAAACAAAAGGAATCCAAAGAGGACCACACCAAGACACATCATAATTAAAATGCCAAGAGCAAAAGACAAAGAGAGTATCCTAAAAGCAGCAAGAGAAAGAAAGTCAGTTACCTACAAGGGAGTACCCATACGACTGTCAGCTGATTTCTCAACAGAAACTTTGCAGGCCAGAAGGGAATGGCAAGAAATATTTAAAGTGATGAATGCCAAGAACCTACAACCAAGATTACTTTATCCAGCAAAGCTATCATTCAGAATTGAAGGTCACATAAAGAGCTTCACAGATAAGGAAAAGCTAAAGGAGTTCATCACCACCAAACCAGTATTATATGAAATGCTGAAAGGTATCCTTTAAGAAGAGGAGGAAGAAGAAGAAAAAGGGAAAGATACAAATTATGAACAACAAATGAATCTAAAAATCAAGTGAATAAATAATCTGATGAACAGAATAAACTGGTGATTATAATAGAA